TATGTATTAATGCAAGTTTATAGTCACGAGTGTTTGTTTGAATATGCAAATCAAGAAACGATATTAAAGCATAAGTACGCCAAACTTGAGATTTTTCTAAAGTGTATTGTCTTTTTGCATATTTTCTATTCACTCTCACATACAGGGTGGTTCATAAGCTAATTTTCCCAAGCTGTTAAACAAATTTTCATAATAATTTGCTCTTTGGTAAGTCTTTAAGCCATTACAGCAGCAAACAAGCCATGAAAAGAACATTAAAAATTATAACACTTGACAAAAACAAAAAACTAAGGTTAATAAGTGGTTTGTGTAGCTAAAAATCCTTCAGTGAACTAACTTATCACCCACCTTGCGTTTACCTAAAGGTTTTTTATTATTATCAAGATGAAGTCCTGTATTTTTTTCCTTAATTATAAGTAACTAAACAGGTTAAGAAATAACTAAACTTAGTTAAAGTTGATACTTGGGCTGGTCAGTAAGTAAAAATACTCACAGCAACAGATGTGTAAAATGCACATCTTGTTTGGAAGTTTCTCACAAAGGGAGGTCAATCACCAGGTGACAAACGCATGCTATGCATATATCTTACTGATTTATCTTAGAATTTTTCGAGGGCACGATTAGATTTGAGGTGAGTTTTGCATAAAAGCGGGCACATCTGCTTCTTAAGTCACATTGGAAATGAAAATCCTGATTCGTGTTGGACAGTGTTGGTTTTGCAGAAAGTTGTGAAATACTGTTGGGCTTTTGAAACGTTTTTTGCATTTGTGCACAACCTATAAAACAATATATAATTTTTCACCTCTAAGTAGTGGTCTTCAACCATCCAAATAACTGTAAAGTTTTGGGGAACCCAACTTGTTCACGATATTGCAGACTCTGAGGCCGTTGATATGGTTAATGGGCGTGTGACATGCCAATCGGCTTTGTCCTTGTTGCTATCTCTCGTTGGGCTCTATGTGCTACTCTTCATCATCACCTTTACTTGAAAATAAATTTTTACACTGAGTCTCAACACTCTCCTTAAAGTTTGCAAACCAGCTGTAGGCAGCTTCACAGCTGAGTGCACGTTTGGTACAGACACACTACAAACGTTTCAAAGTTTCAGCCCTAACTACCCCATCTTTCTGCAGAAACAACAGCGTCCAACATCAGCATGCATGTCACTTTTCATAATTGTTCAAGGTAACTAGTCTCACTATTGCCAAGCCTGAGGGAAAACATGACTAGCAAGGCAAAGCTACATCGCCTACATATGAAAAGCACCAAATGACCATACTCCGTGAAAAATTATCAGGTGAAATTACATTCACACGCCGTCTCTTCATGAAAAAAAAAAGTTAGCGTCCAGTCCACATATATTGTATATTACTATTGAATAATAGCTTGTACGTCTCAAATTCCTATTTTTTTTGGTTCCTCATTTCAAGACGTTAAAACTTCGAGACTGACGTCAGGCAATAGATCCTCAGGGTAAAGCCTGGGTTGTCCGGGTTCCCAGCCTGGGCCGTAGAAAAGAACTTTCAGTCGGTCTCCCCAGGTCTTCATCTCCCACAGGGATTTCCAGATGTTCTGGAAGTGGTGAAACTGATTCCGAGAGAATACATTCGTTAGAGATGGACTTCGAATGGAATCTAAGAAACATTAAAAATACAAACTTGGAGTTTGATGGGATTGAAAGTGCTGACTGCGTGGGTGAGGCCATAGGCAACTTGTTCGCCTTCGGGTACAAATGTCCCAAAAATTCTATCCCAGATGATGAGTACCCCTGCATAGTTCTTGTCTATACAGTACCGGTTGCATCCTGTAAATAACAAAACCTCAGAGAAAACTCTCCTTTTTTTTCCAGTTTTGCGAATAGAATCGAATCCAGACCGTGATGAACTCGATGATGCGATGGGGTGTTGATGATGTACTCGAGAGGTCCCAGGGAGGAAATTGTCTCCGTATGAAGCCAGAACTG